ACAAAAACAAGTGTTTTTGATTAAGTCATTCTCGAGTCCAATTCTGCAAAAATCTACAAGCCTTGACTACTTTCCAGCATGCTGTATTTCATCCACTTTCAGGAAGATTTATAGCAAAATCAGAAATCTGTTGTCCTAGAATGCCCTCCTTTGCATTAGTTCAGACCTATGTCTGGAGACCATTATAACATTTTTTGCTTTTCTTCAGTTATAATAAATTGATGATATTTGGCAGCATGATCAATGATCTAAAAAAAAGTTGTTTAAGTCTATAAAGCTCAATAAGGTGTCCAAAATGAGCCAGCAGATGCTTTGGATTTTCATATTTCATATTTCAATATGAATTCCACAAAAGTTTAATCCTTTTCTGGAAAGTTGCCATGTCAGCCATACACGTTCACTGATTTCATATTAATGGTACTATTAATCAATTTAGAAGGAGAAACTTTTATAAATTTAATTTTGCATTTGGAATTGAATTTACAAAGTTTGAAAAGAAATCTTTTTCTATGTACCCTTCATTTATTTCCCCTATCATATAAAGTTTGTATTACTGTGGTACATTTTCCATAACTAAACAAACAACATGGCACATTACAATGACAAAATTCAAGTCTTTGTTTAGATTTCACCAGTTTTTCTTCTCACCATCAACTTTCTGTTCCAGGATCCAACCCTGGTACCACACTGCAGATATATCTTATACCTTCCTCTGGACTGTGACAGCTTGAAAAGTCTTTCCCTACTCTTTAAGACCTTGACAATCTGGGAGAGCTCTAGTCACTTATTTAATATCTCTTAATTTCAGTTTCAAGACTATCTTCCTTTTGGTTTTTTAACTGAGGTTATGAACTTTTGGAAAGAATATCAAAGAGGTCTTTCGCATCACATCATATCAGGGAGTGTGTGATATCCACCTACTATCACACTGATGATAATAACCATTATCTATGATTAAGGCGGTGTTTGCCAGACGTCTCCCTGACAAAACTGACTATTTTTCACAACTGGACACTTAGAGAAAAACAAGTTATTCAGTGCCACAGGAAGATGCAATGCTGTGAATGAAGCGAAACTGTGGAGTTTTATCGAGCATTTTCACACTCTGGAATGTTCACTCGCACAGTTCGCACTTTAGAATAAACTTGAATTAATCCATAAAAGGTAAGGTAAAAGGTAAAGGCCCTCCCGTTGATCGTCGATTTGCTCGAGCGGGCCCAGTAACGTCTCCATTGGAGACTTTGTTGTTACTGTGTCTGGCATATCGAATACTCTCGGTAGCTTGCCGGGCTCTCCGAGAGGGGCGGAGGAACCAAACTCGGGTCGGCCATGTTGGCCGCTTGTAAGGCGAATGCCCTACCTAGAACAACAAAAGATATTTTTAAAAATCACTCACCCCTATCTGAAAATTCTTAAACTATTTATTATAGACAATTTGGGGGGAGGGTGTTTTCTTTTGGGGGGGATTTTTTGTCTTATTTATGGAGGTATCTGGAACTGACCTTAGCATCCTCTGTATGAGGGACACTGAGATACATTCATGTTCTACCACTGAGATACATTCCCAGTATTAATAGAGTATTTTTGCTATAGTCAAATGATTAGAAGTCAGTCGCTCTAAGTATGAATCCATATCCAATATCCTATTACCTTAGGTAAGTTACTTAAACTCTCTTTCCCTCTGTTTCTATATTTGTAAACTTAAAGCTTCACAAAGACAATATTATCTGCTTCCCCTGAGTGTCTGAATGATTGTATGAGTTAATGTTTGTAAAATTATTAGAAGAGCACAAAATGAATGTGCGGCACTTAAGGATGGGTACAGAGGTACAGAGGCCTAGAAATATGTCTGTAGCATGTGACAATAAAACAAAAAAGCAGCTTGTTTCATATTTACTCAAAATTCCATAAGCTTCTACAATCTGTCAGCTACTGTGTTAAATAAAGTAAGACACTTTTAATGACCCGTTACAGTTTGTTTCATCGAAAACGATTAAGAGAGACTAGGGAAAAACAATCCTTTTTTACTTTTCTATTATAAACATTATAAAATGAGCCTGTATTGCATTATAATTTGAAAAGAAAACAATACATCTTTCAAGTTCTAAAGAATAACTTTAGTGTGACAACTCAGTTTCTCATGAATTTCCAGAAAATAATCAGTAACAGAGAATTAACCCACAGACTCTCAGTTATTCATGTTCTAGTCACATATTTTATGACTTTTTGATTATTTCTACTTTCCTACAGTTACACACAATTTTTAATATCCTTTAATTTTTTTTACTTGTTCCTCTCAGGATTATGTTATGAAAATTTTTTAAGCTAGGGTTTTAGTTTATAAATATTTTCCAATAAATAAGATAGCCTTTCATTCAATTTCCTACTTTATAGATGAAGTAAATTAAAGTAGGTTTACAAATAAATCCATGATAGAGATAAATGGTTTTTCCAAAATTTATAAAAGTGCATTTCCTAGTACAAATTTTTTTCTCTCAGTAAGCACAATACAGAAAATGCTTAATTAAAAGGAAAATTGGGATGAAACCTTCTATTTGTATATATATATGCATACATATATAAATGTTTCTTTGTGAAACATCATATATTAATTAATCAAACATCAAACATATATGTTTACATGTTTACACATATATTAAACATTAAACATGTATATGTATATGCATACATATATAATGTTTCTTTATGAAAAAATTCACAATAGGCTGAATTTCTACTAGGCAATGTTGGGGTGATTATTTTATTTTAATCAATAAACTTATAAATTCTTCATCCTTACCGACTCTCACACATATTGATTCACTTCTTAAAACTACCTTGGGATAGGCAAAGTAATATTTACAATTGCAGGAGGTAGTTGGTAACTACACTTGACCCATAAACAACCAGGCCAAGGGCCATGCATGTGTTCCCCAAGAATAAGTCTAAAAGGACATGAGGTTGAAGAGATAGTACAGGAGTTCGGGTGCCTGCCTGCACTGGTCTGAGCCTAGTTCAAATCTCCAGCACTGCCTCTGGTCCCCTGAGCACGGCCAAGAGTAATTCCTGAGTACATAGCTAGTAGTAATCCTGAGCCTCTCCAGGTATGGCCCAAAAGGGAAAAATAATTAAAGAAAAATCTTAAATGGGGGCCCGAGCAATAGGACAGTGGGGACGGTGTTTGCCTTGCACAACCCGGTCCACTTGGGATGGATTCCAGCATCTTATATGCCCCCCCACACACACACACACAGCACCGCCAGGAGTGTTTCCTGAGTGCAGAGCCAGGAGTAACCCCTGTGCATGACCAGGTGTGACCTAAAAAAAAAAAAAGAAAAAAATTTAAATGATGATGATGATGATGAGCGACAGCACAGTGGTAGGGCATTTGCCTTGCCTGCCGCAGGCCTGGCCTAGCCAGGTTTCATTCCTCCGCCCCTCTCCGAGAGCCTGGCAAGCTACCGAGAGTATTTCCCCCGAATGGCAGAGCCTGGCAAGCTGCCCATGATGTATTGGATAGGCCAAACACAGTAACAGGTCTCACCATGGAGACATTACTGGGCCCCCTCGAGCAAATTGATGAACAACTGGAGGACAGACAGACAGACAGATGATGATGATACATAACCCCCCACCCCCCACCACGTGCAACACAAACTTTGTTGTCCAAAGAGCAAGTGAAAAAATTCAGGAGGTTTTTCCATCCTCAGGCAAGAGGGTGTAGATTCTTGGCTGAGTTGGATTAAGCAGGTCTATGTCCTTCAACACCCAAGCCTGGGTCAGAGACATTCCCCCATCCGCTCCCTGGCAACCGTCACCCCCCATCTTATAACTAGTATCCAAGAGGTCTGAACCCCACCTATATATTATACTCAATAACTAGTGTTGAATCAAGCTTCTCAAACACTCACACTGGGTTAAAAGACTGAAATTCTGGTTCAGAAAAGCAGGCTATGTCGATATTTGCTTCAAAGAGAAAAAAAAAGAACCCAAACACCAAAACTCCTTTGGTGCAAAGATATCTTAAGTGTGACTGGGGGCGTTTCAGATTTCCTCTGCCCACATGGGCAGTAAGGCAGCCCTGCTGACCAAAGGGCACTTTCTCCATCCACCCCGCGTGCTCCTCTAACCTGCCGGATGAACTCCAGAGCCGGTGGCCACCCTTGCCCTGTCCCTTGTGCGTCTGAAGCCCTCGGGACTTGTGAAAGCAGCTCTCCCGGGGGGGAAATCTGGAAACTCCAACGTTTCAGGGGGAACAGGAAGTTCAGCAGGACCCAACGCTGGCCGAGGTCCTGTTATAGCCCTCAAGGCTCACTGCAACTGACACTGGATTTAACTCTGACGCTTGACCCCTGCTGCCACCAAATGGAAAACAAAACCAAGATAACTTGAGTGTGTGAGTCCAAAATATTGACACTGCTCTTTTCTTATTTGGATCTGGGGTAGTGACCGCTGTGTTTTCCACGTGCTTTGGTCTGAATCAACCCGGACTGGAACTTCCAGAGGCAAGGACGATTTGGTGATAGAGGAACAAGGGGTTGGGCCTCAGTGACCCGGTCCCTGCTCCTTCCTCTCCCGCCTCCGATGGACCTGCCGCATCCTGCAGAGCCGCCCGGGCCCTGCCCACAGCACTCGGCCCGCCGGACCCCGCCGCTGTCCACCCCGGCTCCGCGGGAGGGGTCCGAGGATGCTACAGGCCCTTCCCGCAAGGCGTGGCGGCGACTCAGGCCCGCTTTAGGGATGTGGATCCCACCGGAGAAATTCCCGTGCAGATGAGCAGGAGGCGAGGGGCGTTGGCCCGGGCAGGGCCCCCAACCCCAGTCCCGGGTGGGCGGGGCGGCGGGTTTCCTTGAAGCCCCGGGATCCACCTGGGCGCGGGGATTTCCCTGCACCTGGACGGCCAGCCTTTCCGCTCGCATCCTGGATAAAAAGGGCTGGCGGCGTCAGGGCGAGCAGATCGCTCCTGCAAGCGGTGCCTCCGACCCTGCACGCTCAGCACCATGACCCGCGCTGCGACCCCCGCCGCCCCCAGCGCTCTCCGGACCCTCCCAGCCGCGCTGCTGCTCCTGCTCCTGAGCGCCGCCTGCCGGCAAGCTGCAGGTACGACCCCGCCACCCCGCGGCCCCGGGTGGCCCAGGGCGGCTCTCCAGGGGACCCCCCGCCCCCCCGCTCACCTGCTCTCTCCCCCTTGAAGGGGAGCCCCTGGACGCCGAGCTGCGCTGCCAGTGCCTGGAGACCATGCAGGGCATTCACTTCAAGAACATCCAGAGCGTGACGGTCACGCCCCCGGCACCCCACTGCCCCCGCACCGAAGTCGTGTAAGTGTCCCCGCGTCCCGCTGAGGACGTCATCCCCAAGCCCCCCATCATCCCCAAGCTGCCCCCACGCCCTCCCGCCCCGCCGTCTGACTTGAACCCCGCTTCTCTCCGCAGAGCCACTCTCAAGAATGGTCAGCAAGCCTGTCTCAACCCCGAAGCCCCCCTGGTTAAGAAAATCATTGAAAAGATGCTAACAGAGTGAGTGATGGGTCTGTTCTCACATGTGACTCGAGCTATTGGTCGCTGACCTTGAAAATTAGGTCAGGGGAACAGAACATTTCTCATTTGACATTACTCTAGTAAGATCATCCATCTGCTCTGAATGGCAGAATATTGCAAGTAGCCTCCATGTCCAAGTCCTTCTGTCCACATTCATATTAATATAGTAAAGCTGGTTTTATTAAAATCGTCACGGATGCCGGCCAGTTATGCCTTGAAGTTTTTCCCCTGTTAAAAGGATCTCGGGTTTTCCCACCCTTTCCTTTGGGGTTTCTCACCTAAAACGCAGGATCCTCGATTTTCTGCAATATAGAACCTAGAGCTTAGCGCCAAGAACTGGGACGTGGCAGTAACACTCCACTGGCACACAGCTGAATTTTACCAACTATTAGCCTTATGACTCAAAGACAATTACTTGGTATATCTAAGCTCAGTAAAATAAGGAATACAATAGCAGCTATTTCCAGGGAATTGCTAGGAGATTTAAGCAAGGATCAGTGGGATTTAGAGAACAATAGGTTCTGTCTGGCTGGTTCTAGCCAATGTTTCACAACCCATATTCCAAGAGGTTCCGGGAGCTTAGAGGTTCCCCCCCTATGGAAGAGGCAACTGTCACTTGATTCCAGACCGTGCGAACTAATTCCAAAAATTCAGGAACCTGATAGGAAGGAAAAGATGCTATAGATTTCTTGAGCACAGACCAAGGACCACCTTTTTCTCATTACAGGAGCACATCCAAATGAAAAGAAAAAGAAAGAGCAAGTTGAAATACAGTTTTACCTGGACCAGATCCTTCCCCTACAGGAGTCAGGGGAAAGAGGAAGCATCCACTCCGAGGGCACCTGGATTTAGATTGGCATTAGTGTGCTTGAGTCTGTGTGAGGAGAAACTTTTGACTTGCTTATTTATTTATTGGCTGGTTGGTTGGCTTTCAAGGAGTCTCTGTTAATATGTTACATTGAAATAATTCAGCAGGTCCTTCAATCTACCTGTGCAATGAAATACTGGTCTGGTTGTTTATTTTTTTGTCAGCCCCAAGTTGATACAATCCTAATTCTCTTTACTTTGGAGATTTGCAAACATTCTTCTGTCATTAAACTATTTTTCTCCCCACAGTATGCCAGGCTGTGTGACTGAGGGTGGAAATCCCAGCAAGTTGACAGTCAGGGCAGAAGAATACATGTGTACATGCAGTTTTGTGTCTGTTTCAAAAACTATCAACTACTATTTATTGAAATGATTTCATGGTATGTGGTATATTTTTCGTATTGAACTTTGGAAACTACAATGTTCTAAATATCTTTTGGACACTTTTTCTGTCCTTTTTTGTAAGGTACAATATCTTGTTTAATATTTAATCATGTAACATTTCTCTGTGTCTTCAAACACAGGCTTAAATATGTATTGGCTTATGTTGCATAAGAACTCAAAAATAAAGTATTTAAAAATCAACAATGTTTTCTTCAGTTTCTAAATAATATGAGGATTTTCATCAATGTTTCTCCATTTTCTTTTCCCTGATGGAACTCCAGGTCATGTTACGTTTCATTAGGGAATAGCTGTCTCCACCCCACCTCACCCTCACCCCAGGCCAGATCCCATCAACCCAAGAATGTGCTTTTTTAAACTATAGTCGGGTCCTCGAGACACTGAATTAGGTATTTATCATTATTTTGTGGATGAGATTTGGACCACCAGGGCTACACTAGGTTATTCTACAGTGGGGTCACCAATGCCACACCCAACAGTGCTCAGGGGACTGTTTGGTGCTCACGGTCCTCCCGTTGTTCATGGATTTGCTCAAGCGGGCCCTGTAATGTCTCCATCGTGAGACTTGTTGTTACTGTGTTTGGCATATTGAAAATGTCATGGGTAGCTTGTCAGGCTTTGTCTCGAGGGGGAGATACTCTCGGTAGCTTGCCCGGCTCTCTGAGAGGGGTGGAAGAATCGAGCCAGGCTTGGCCGGGCTGGTTGCGCGCAAGGCAAATACCCAATCCGCTGTGCTATCGCTCCAGTCCCCGTTGGGTGCTAGGAATCAAAATCAGGGTCTCACATGTAAGGTTTGTGTTCTATCTCTTGAGCTATATTCTTGCTTTCTATATCTATTTTATCTATAATTTTTTACTTATTAATTTATTCCTCCCTACTGCCCCTTACTCCCTTCCCTTTGTTTTTCTCAGTGATGTTGGAGGCTCCCTGGGGGTTGCTATGGTGTTGGCCAAGGGTCACCTGTCCTGGTCATGTCTCTCACATTTCTTTCCAGTGGCAGAGTTCTCAGGGTCGCACATTTTTTTGTTGGTCATTCATACCTGGTTGTTGACATTGTAGTAGCGGGATCACCAAGAGCACAGAGCCAGGCTCACACAGCAGAGTTCCTGGGTTGCACTCAACAGGTGTGTGTCCCCAGGGATTTGAACTCATGATCATTTGCCTGCCTACAAAGCAGGACCTCTAAGCCCTCACAACTCTAGGTTGGAACCCCACGTGGTATCACATAAATGCGTGTTGGAGTCAAGAAAAAATTCTCAACAATAAAAGGTTTCGGAACACATTAGTTACCACAATTCAAAATCAAACGTAATAAATAGGTGCTTTTGGTAGCAGGTGTTGCGGCTCTTGGGAGAAATTAGTCCATGAGAAGTTTAAGAAACTCACAATAAGCCACTACTATTTATCCAGACCCCAAATAGCTGTTTGTGTGTGTGTGTGTGTGTTTTTAATAAGCATCTCCTTCTATCATATTACTCCAGTTTACCTCCCTAAAAACATTCACATTCATAGAGCTATTTTAAAAAGTTCAAAACTTTTGCTCAATACTTTTCAAACAATTATCAACAATTTAATAAAACTGCAATGAAAGTAAAGGTTTTCCCCCAAAGCAAGTTATGTGGGATGGAGAGATAGTGCAGGGTACTTGCCTCGTACTTGGTCAACCCTAGTTTGCTCCCTAATATTATATATGGTCTCCGCAGTACCTCAAGGGGTGACCCCTGAGCACAGATCCAGGAGTAAGCCCAAAGCAATGTCATGTGAGGTTGAAAACAAACAAAAACGCATGTCATCAATAGGCGCGGGAAAAGAAAGTGCTGAGCGTTTGACCTACAAAAAGATCAAACTGATATTCAATTTTCTAACCTTTATATATTAGCAACTAACTACCACTGAGTTCAGTGTTACTCCTCGAGCATTAAATCAATTTATTACATGGAACACTTTTCAAACTGAGTTCCTCAGTTCCCACCTTTACAAGTGCAATGTTTATGGAACCTGATAGGTAGTCTAGTGGGAGAAATTGCTCTGAACTTGGGGTTCAGTGCAATCCCTGGTGACAGCAGCACTTCAGGTTTCCAAGACGGAAATCAAGTTGGAATGTCAAAAGAGGACAAATTCGCGCAATCTAAACGAAATCACATCACACCAAAAAGAAAGAACAGCTATGGATATATAAGGTGTGTGTTTGCTCTGACTCAGGATGGTCAGGAAATCCTGAGCTTTACACAAACATCTTTGACAGAGTCCAGAAGGCGGGGCTGGTAGTTTGACTCCTTGGCATCAGGTTCTGGCTTGCTTCAAAGAACTGTGTAAATTAAAGCTCAAAAAGATAACAAACAACCTCAATGAAACTTTGTTTATACTGACAAAGTTAAAAACAACAGCAACAGCTATCTTGTCATACCTCCAATGATATTTATTATAAATAATAAAGGAGATAATTTGCAAATTACGTAGAATAATACGAACCATTCTATAATAATACCATCACTATATAATCCCTTTCCAAAGGATATTGGAAAATATTTCAAAGGCTTAATAAAGCCTTCACATCTAAGACCAGACTGTCTAGTTAAATGTCATGAATTTGCTCTTGACAAATATAAACCTCTTAGCTCTTAGCAATATAAACCTCAACCTCTTAGCTCTTAACAGTGTAAAACGTGGAGCACATAAAAAGGGAAATGGTCTTCCCTTTTTTTCATGGGTTGCTTAAAGTCTAAGATTTCAGAGTCTGACTGATTTGGGAGAAAATTTAACTTGTCACTTACTGACTACATGACCTTGGTTGAATCCTTTGATTTAACCCAACTTTACTTTCCCTTATAGAGAATACAAACAGTATGTACTTTCTGAAATTGTTGCAGGGAAATCTACCATGAGACCTCAAGTCAATTTCATAGATATTGAGTTGCGATGGTTCACGTGTCATTGTCAAACCAAATTTCTCTTAGATTTTACAAGTATAAGGCAGTCTGTTATTGAGAGAATCATGGCAGGAAGTGGGACAGGAGAGGACATGAGGTGGCAGTCATGGGGTGAAGGAAGTAGGAAAAGAAGAATATGTGACACATCAGAACTTTAAGAGATCATCAGCAGAAAAAAAATGCCACCATTATTTCCTGAGCAATGAGTTCAAAGAAACTCCTTTTCTCCTAAAGGAGGAAATATGATTTACCTCTCTCTATCACCAGCCTTCTCTGGAGTTTCTATAAGGAATTCTTTCAAAGCTAAAAGCGTAGAGATACATGGGGAATGCAAGAGATGGCAGGCCTGCATAATGGAGGCAATCTGAATTCAATGATAGTTTTCTTGTCACAGATAAAAAAAATAGCAAGGGAAAATATTTTGTTCTATTTTTATTGATGCTCTGTTTACAACTGCATTCAAGAACTTCAATGGGCAACATCAACATCCCTATGCACTCACAGCTTCCCAGTTAAATTATTTTAACCTTCTAGTTCTATTCTTTGATATTTTCTTCATCTGAATGGAGAGAGCAGTGTCTGAGAAAAGTTTCTTCAGTTCACAGGCATGGTAGCCTGTTGTTTCATGTCCTGAGAGGTAATGCCGCCATGAAGGGCTAGGACTCAGTGAACCAATATTTTATTTTCCAGCAACTTTGTTCAACAATTACAAAACTTAAGCTACATGTAAGACTATGTGTGTCTCCATACATGTATATGTATATATATATATATATACATATTCATATATCAGCTATCACTATCACCCCATTGTTCATCAATTTGCTCGAGCGGGCCCGGTAACGTCTCCATTCGTCCCTGTCACAGGTTAGTGTAGCCCGATGACATATTGGGGGCTCCTTCAGGATCAGGGTAATGAGGACCATTCACTGTTACTGTTTTTGACATATCAAGTACGCCACAGTTAGCTTTTCAGGCTCTGTCTTGAGTGCGGGATACTCTCGGTAGCTTTCCAGGCTCTCCGAGAGGGATGGAAGCTTTTGGGGCAGACTCTAATCACCTTTATAGGTATTCCTAGTCAGGCATATAGGTGAGTATGATATTCTCAGTAGCCTGCCGGGTACTCTGAGAGTGAGAACTAGAGAACAAGAGGCTGCGCGGCCACAAATTCAGCCGCGCACTTCCAGGAGCTTGGTTTTAGAGTCTCTCGATCCTGGCCATTGATGGGGTTACACAGCAGTTGGTGGGTATAACTGTCTAGCTACTGGAAGGTGGGGGAGCTGGGTGGAGGAGGCCCAGTCCCGAACTGAGCAGACTTGGAGATCTCAGCCCCGGGTCCCGCACACCTGGGTTCCTCTGCCGGTTCTTCATCCAAGTGTGTGGAGAGTGGTCTCAGCATGGCTTTGGCTGGGTCCCGGAGGACTTCAGCTGTCGGGGCTCTGCTCAGGCCGGAGAGGGAAACTCAATCGCTCTCCTCCAAGGGACCCTGGTGAAGACAGCCAGGTGCGGGGACAGGAGACTCTGCCTTAGTCTCTTCCGGGAGCTTGGTTTTAGAGTCTCTGGATCCTGGTCACTGATGGGGTTACATGTATATATATATATATATATGAAATATATATATATGTGAATGCACTGTCCTCCCATTGTTCATCTATTTGCTCGAGCAGGCTCAATAATGTCTCCATCGTGAGACTTGTTGTTACTGTGTTTGGCATATTGAATACATCACGGATAGTGCTAGGCTTTGCCATGTGAGCGAGATACAATTGGTAGCTTGTCAGGCTCTCCAAGAGGGGCAGAGGAATCGAATCCAGCACAGCCACGCTGGCTGTGCTCAAGGCAAATGCCCTACCACTGTGCTATTGCTCCAGCCCTATATACATATGTGCTTATTGTTTGCAAAGCACACACACACACACACACACACACACACACACATATATATATATATATAATTTTATTGAATCACCATGAAATACTTACAAGCTTTCATGTTTGGGTTACAATCAAACAATGATCAAATACCCATTCTTCCACCAGTGCACATTCCCCACCACCAATATTCCCAGTATAACCCTCCTTTCCCACCCTCCCCCTGCCTCCATGGCAGACATGATTCCCCAGAATCTCTCTATTTTTGGGCATTATGGTTTGCAATACAGACCCTGAGAGGTTATCATGTTTGGTCCTTTATCTACTTTCTGCACACATCTCCCATCCCGACCAATTCCTGCAGCCATCTTTTTCTTAGTGATCCCTTCTCTATTCCAGCTGCCTTCTCCCCTTTTCTCATGAGGCAGGCTTCCAGCTATGGAGCAATCTATCTGTCCCGTGTATCCACTATCCTTAAGTAAAACACATATATATTTTCAATTCTCTCTTCACTGAGTTCACATTTTCTTTTAAACTGGAGTGAATGTATAATAACTATATAAAACCATTCTCTCCTAGAAAGCCGGTTTTCTCCCCTGATCTGCGCGGGACGGGCACAGAGGCCCAGCTCTGGGCAACAAAGCTGAACGGCTCCTCATTCCAACCAGGAGACGTTCCCAACTCCTCGCCCAGTGCCAGGGACTCTTTCCGGAGCCTCAGCTGCTAACGCGGTCGCGAAATTTTTTCCCACTACATATGCCATAGGAACCATAAGCTACCTTCTTAGATGGAAACTTCTCTAGTTTAGCTCAGTCACTAGAAACACAGTAGCCAATAACTCATAAGCCTATCTTAACTCACACTGCATATAAAGCAGAATAGTAACAGTGAACGTGAAGGACTAAACCACACTTGTCACAATGGTAAAGCAACGCAAAAGCCCACCGAACATTCTTATTGAAGAGTCTAGCCCAGATGACACCAACAGTACTGTAGTGTTAGACAACCTTCTGACAAGGAATTCAGAAGGGAGCTACTTAGGATGCTTAGGGAACTAAAAGAAACAATGGAAAGCAATGCCAATAGAAGACAAGAGGATTTGAAGGCAGAAGTGAGGAAAATGCAATCGGAAATGTCAGACCTGAAAAATCTCGTAGGCGAATTGAAAAACTCAGTGGAAGGCCTCAGCAGCAGAGTAAGAGCTGCTGAGAACAGAATCAGTGAGCTCGAAGATGAAGTTCAGAGACTCTCCAGAAAAGAGCAGAAAATGGAAAAGAGACTCACAATTCAGGAACAGATGTTAAGAGATGATCGTGATGAAGCCAAGAGGGGTAACATAAGAATTATTGGAGTCCCAGAGGTACAGGAAGAAAACCTTGATGAAGAAGAAACTGTCAAAGAAATCATTGCTACAACGTTTCCAGAGCTGAAGAAAACTTGTGACCACATTCAGGAGGCCCGAAGGGTACCAGCTAGAAGAAATCCGAATAAAAATACCCCAAGACACATTCTGATCAAAATGACCAAAACCTTAGACAGAGACAAAATTCTGAAAGCAGCAAGATCGAAGAAAGAAATCTCTTACAAAGGAGCATCCTTAAAATTCACAGCTGATTTTTCTGCTGAAATCCTCATGACCCGAAAACAGTGGTGGGACATTGTGAAAAAACTCAATGAAATAAATGCCTCACCAAAAATACATTACCCAGCGAGACTCTCATTCATAATAGAAGGAACAACACACAGTTTCACAGACAAACAACAGCTCAGGAACTTCATAGACTCAAAACCAAGGTTACAAAAACAACTAAATGGGCTACTTTAAGGCAAGAAAGGCCCCTCAAATACACCAAATTTCAACAGAACAATCGGACAAAATCCCATAACAATAATCTATCTTAATGTCAATGGGCTAAACGCACCAATTAAAAGACATAGAGTGGCAGGATGGATTAGAAAATTGAACCCAACATTCTGCTGCCTGCAAGAAACACATCTCAATAGTCAAAGCAAACACAGACTCAGAGTCAAAGGCTGGAAAACAATCCTATAGGCAAACAGCTCCCATAGAAAAGCTGGGGTAGCCATCCTAATATCAGACCACATCGATTTCAGAGTGAAGAAGGTCACAAGAGACAGTGAAGGCCATTTCTTATTGATTAAAGGATCTGAACAACAGGAAGAACTTACAATAGTGAATGTATACGCACCTAATGAGAGACCAGCAAAGTACTTAAAACAACTACTCATAGATTTGGAAAAAGACATCAATAGCAACACAATACTAGTGGGAGACTTCGACACCGCTTTGTCACTGCTTGATAGATCAACCAGACTCAAGCTTAGCAAGGACATACTTATCTGAGGGAAACAATGGAAGAAAGGGACTTAGTAGATATATACAGGACACTTCATCCACAAAAAGCTGAATACACATTCTTCTCAAGCTTACATGGAACATTCTCCAAGATAGACCACATGCTGAGCCACAAAACATGCCTCCATAAAATTAAGAAGATAGAGATTGTATCAACAATCTTCTCAGACCATAATGCGCTGAAATTAGAAGTAAATCACACACAAAAACAGAAAACTAAATCAAACACCTGGAAATTAAACAGTGCGCTATTAAACAACGAGTGGATTAGACAGGAAATCAAAGAGGAAATCAAAAGATTCCTAGAAACGAATGAAAATGAGAACACGAGTTACCAAAACTTATGGGACACAGCAAAAGCTGTGTTAAGAGGAAAGTTTATAGCTCTACAAGCATTCCTCAGGAAGGAGGAGCGAGCACACATAAGTAACCTAACCTCACAGCTTAAGAGCTTGGAGAAGGACCAAAAAAAGGAGCACAACCCGAACAGGAGAAAGGAAATAATAAAACTCAGAGCAGAGATTAACAAGATGGAAACCCAAAAAACAATCTGAAAGATCAATGAAACCAAGAGCTGATTCTTCGAGAAAATTAACAATATCGATAAGACTCTAGCAAAACTCACAAAGAAAGGGAGAGAGAAAACCCTAATAAACCGAATCAGAAATGAAAAGGGGGTCATTACAACAGAAACTACAGAAATTCAAAGGATCCTCAGGGAGTACTTTGAGAAGCTTTTTGCCACGGAACATCAAAACCTCGAGGAAATGGATAAATTCCTAGACTCCTACAGACTCCCAAGGCTGAACCAAGAAGACCTGGAATACCTGAACAGACCTATCACCATCAAGGAAATTGAAATGGTAATAAAAAGTCTCCCCAAGCACAAAAGTCCTGGCCCAGATGGAT